CACCATGATCGCCATTCAGCTGCACTGGAGCTCCTGTAGAAAGAGGGGATCCGATCAGAGAGAAGCAGAGGAAGGGGCCAATTCAAACCACGGGTCTTAGGGAATTCTGATGAAATATCCAAGCTCATTAACCCTGTTAAGCTGATCTGCAGTCTTGGATTGACGGCTGGTAACTGGTACCACTGACGGCCTCTTTTTCACAGGCTCTTTGCTGCCACCTGCTGGTTAATGTTCAATGGCTTATTAGTGAATGTAATGTTTAATCTTATTGCACTGCTAATTCTGAAATGTAAATTAAACTGCTCATTATTTGTTCAGATTTAATAAATGTTAAATTGATGATTTACAGTGCGTTTTGTATTCTGGAGTTGGTAAATATTAAAAATAAAGACTATTTCAGACTAAAAATAAATGGTATATTGTTTTAGTTCATGCTTCTCTGTCAGAGCGCACCAATCAGTGACCCTCTCAGAGTGTGATGTAACACACTAAACCAGGACCGCCCACTTTTCACTTGGCAGTAAAAACACAGCTGATACCAGCCACACATATCGAATATTGGGGAAAGGGGACATGTCAAACGTAAAACTAGATAACAAAGATATCAAATACATATATATATATATATATATATATATATATATATATATATTCATCTGCCTCAAATGAAACACATCCCTGTATAATCTATTTCTGGTTTAATCCCCAATACTTGACAGTAAGTCGAGTTGCTGTCCGTGGTGCTGAAAACCTAGATCAGCAAATTCCATATTATATATCTTTACCTGATTTAACTGTAACCCTCTTACTTCATTGGCAGTGATGCTCTGTTAAGAGGCAGGGACAGAAGAAATTAAGTGTCTTACAGGAGGTCGAAATGAAATATTTATATTGAGCAACCAAACGGCTTAAGACAATCAGTTCATCTGTGGGCAATAACGCTCCCCAAAAACATTCTGTTTCTCTTGTATCTATATCTGGAGGTGCAGCTACTGACCGTCACTGGCTGATGGACGGCAGGTGATCAGAGTCAGCAGCTGCACCTCCAGCACCCTCATCCTTAACACTGCACCCCCACAAGGCTGTGCCCTGAGCCCTCTGCTTTACTCCCTGTACACACATGACTGAGGAGCTACACACAGCTTATACATCATCATGAAATCTGTCAATGACACTGTGATGGTAGATCTGATCTCCGACAGGGACGAGACGGCAAACCTCACTGAGGTGGAGAAGCTGACTCTGTGGTGCTGAGCCAATAACCTGGACATGAACATTTTTAAGACCAAGGAGATGGTCATGCAATTCAGGAAGGAGCAGCAGAGGCACACAGCAGAAGTACAGCATAAGTAAACACCTCTCAAGATTTTCAGGACTGTGGTGGAGAGGGTCATCATTCTGGAAAGTGGTTCACTAAAACATACATGAGTTAGAAATTGGTGAAAACCAACAGGATATCAGATATAAATTATTAAAATGTGCATGAATTAAACATTATCTAACAGCATCAATTGGCAATTGGTTCCCGGGCCCCCAAAATTACACCTAAATT